TGGATAACGAAGAATAGGATAGGTCCCCTCCTGAAGTGGAGGAGTTCATATGTTAGATGTGTTGAGGAGTGAGGGGAGAATGGAGCAAAAAAGAAAAAGCTCTAGATTTACTGGTGGGTTTACGTTCCTACCCTCATCTAAGGTTAATAAACCTGGATCATGAGGGAGGGGGCTCAGAGCAGAGCCGCTACTTCTTCACATAGAGAGGAGGCAGCTGAGGAGGACATCTTTTCCAGATGCCCTCTGGACGCCTCCCTCAGGAGGTGTTCCAGGCATGTCCCAACGGGAGGAGGCCCAGGAGACGATACAGGACACCATGAAGGGACTAAAGCCCCATTTCCACTACCCTTCTGAAACTGTGCTGATATCGGTCCGAGCACGGCAACCGAGATAACTGTTGAGTGTAAACGATACGCCCAACTGAACCGTGCCAGACACAACTGAACCGCGCTAACATGGTACTAGTTCACCGGTAGGAGTCGGTAAGGTTCAGTTCTGGCTCGGTTCATGAGCAGACGGCGTCATCTTCTTACGGTCAGCCTCTGTTATCATGAAATTACAGACATACATAAAAAACCTAGCTTCTCTATGATTTCCAGTGATGATTCTGCTTAGCAGTGCCATGAACCTCAATCCCTGTCTTTGTTTCCTGCGTCCAGTGTTGGGCACGTTACTTTGAAAAAGTAATTAGTTATAGTTACTGGTTACTTCTCCCAAAAAGTAACTGAGTTAGTAACTGAGTCACTCGACAATAAAAGTAACTAGTTACTAGTAAAAGTAACTATTGCGTTACTCTTGCCAGTGTATGAAATTAATAACTGGGGATGTCTAATTCTGAAATCCTGTGTTTGGGTTGTTATAGATACTGAAACATGTAGCTATATCTATCTATTCCATCCATCCATCATCCATCCATCCATATTTCTCTCTTCTCCATATAGGCTAATGATTGTTCACGCTCTCCGTAGTTCTCCTGTGGTGCGAGTACAGGGAAGCTGTTACACGCCTTTAGCGAGCATGTGCGTTTCCTGTCGCTTGCGTGGTGAATCGTGCCGCCGCGCTGTGCGGAGATGCAGGGGAAACCGTATCTGATGGGGAAACGCAGCTCCAGTATTTCCATCTGGAAAACGCTGTTTTGTCGCTGGAGTCCTCCTCACTCTCCATCCTCCCCTCTCTCATGACGCGCGCACGACTCCTATCATGAAAAAAGGTTCATTGTGCGACCTGAGTAACGTGCAGTAACGGGTTGTCGGCAATTGTAACTGCGTTATAGTTACAGTAAGAGTAATCAGTTCGATTACTCGTTACTAAAAAAAGGTAGTTGCGTTAGTAACGCCGTTACTTTCAATGCCGTTACTCCCATCACTGCCTGCGTCTGGAAGCTCTGATTAGACAATCGTTTATCGTATCCACTTCCCAAAAGCCGACTCTGTGTCAAGGAAATTCACCAAAGGCTGCCTTCTTTGCCTGACTCTACGTTAACTTCCTAAATGTTAAGGGCGCCGCCATGTTGGTTTGCTTGTTTCCCTCTAGAGAGCAGCAGTACCGTAGATTGCCACTAGGAGGTGAGGAACCGTGCTAGCGTGGTGTGTAAATAGTCATAATGAACCGAGCTTGGCACAGTTAAATGATTGAAGCTCAGCACGGTTGGTGTTCAGAAGTAGCTATGTGGTATAAAGACAAGGAGAGCGGAGCGACTTTTGTCCATAACGCCGTTCTCTCTTTGACCTCTAAGGGCTAAATAACTGATTTCTAAAGTTATTATCAGTGAGATTCATCGTAATGTTGCTGCAGATCTGTTGTTCACTACTGTTCCTGTTTCTTTCTTATTAAAACCTGAGTTATATGTCAGATTTGCTTGTTTTCCAGTTTTTCTAATCTACCTTGCCTGCTCTCAGTGTATTCAGTTCTGTTACATTCTAAGGATACGGCTGAGAGATGCAGCATCGTTTGTTTCTTGTGTGAAAGATGGGTCCTACTTCAGGCTTAATAGTGCTTCCTATTCCTGTGATCGACTCTACAGATGTCATCACATTCTTTTCTCATCCTGCGCCCTTCTCCACCTCTTTAATATGCAAATATCCCCGCTGTGGCTTACTGCTGTAACCGTGTAAGGCTGAGCTCAAAGAGCAAAGGTCGTAGGTTAAAAGCAAGGCCGACGTGTCCGCTCAGAGGGTGGAGGCACCGGGGGTCAGGTCTGCAACCTGTGGTTGGAGGAGGAGCTCATTTGTTAGGCAAAAAGCTGAAGCGCTGGGTTCAGTGGCCTCAGCGTACGACCGCATGTCAGCCAGACCCAGCTTTGGCTTCCTCTCTGGGGTAAATTTTACCTCTGGAAGCAGCCTGTGCTTCGCTTACAGATCTGAAATAAAACCCTCTACAGATGAAACCTCTGCTGTGAAGGACAGAGAAGGTTCAGCATTTATTCAACAAACGCCATAAAAGTTATGATCCCTCAATTACTGTAATGTTGCTGTAATTAATGCACTCTTTACAGCCGCCTGCATGCAGTGGGCAGGTTGGTGCTTTAACCAGGTCATCAGGACCTGGTCTGATAAGATCTAAGCCGTTAGGAGGACCAGCGTAACCAGTAGAAGACAAACAGTGAGCAAAAGAGGCTGCACTGATGACCTCACATGAAACAAAGGCGGTTTAACTGAATCGGTCCGGGAGGAATTCACAGAGTGAATGGGAGTCAATGCTGCGTCCTTATCAGGAGGGCTGGGTGTGAGGGGTGACCTTACTGAGCCAGAGGCACAGCTGAAAGCCTGCAGGATGAATCAGAGGGTTTGACCCAAGTTTTCAAATCTCTCCATCACAGAGGGAAAATCTATGGTGTGAATTATGTTTCATTATGACTGGAACTGGAAAAACAATCTACCAAAAAGTGAAAATGTCTTTAATTAAGTGTATTTACCCTTAATTTGAATTATTTTAAGAAAGATTTACTTACGCTTAGACCTTTTTTTGCAGTGTCTGATATCTGAACTGCAAAAATCAAACTAAAATTAGGTCAAACCTTCTTTAAAGGTTTATTTCTACTTCATTGGAGAGAGTGAAATGATACACTGCAAAAACAATCAAGAAAGAAGTCAACATTTCTTAGATTAAGTGTATTTAGCCTTAATTTGAGCACGAAAATAAGATACTCTGCCAATGGAATGAGTATTTCTACACTTAAAATAAGATGATTAGATAATATGCAATGAAAATAAGACAATGCAATTTTTTTTTTCCTATTTTAAATGTAAATTGCCTTGTTCCATTGGCAAAGTGTCTCACTTACCTCCTCAATTCAAGAAAAAATTCACTTATTTTAATAAAATTTGACTTATCTAGATTTCGATATTTTCCAGTGAGAAATGATACACTGCAAAAAAGATATAGAAAAAAGTAAAAATCTCTTAATTTAATGGTATTTACCATTAATTTGAGCAGGTAAATGAGATTTTTACTCTTGATATAAGATACTTAGATAACATGCGCATGAAATAAGACAAAGCAATTGTGTTTTCTTATTTTAAATTTGTCTTGTTCCATTGGCAAAATGTGTCTTTTACCTCCTCAATCCAAGAACAAATACACTTATTTTAAGAAAAAAATTGCTTTAATACTAGACTTTGATTTTTTCCTTTAACAAAGAAAATGTTTGGTAAGTAGAAATGTGAAGAAAAAAACATAATCCAGCTGTAAAACTGAAAAATGTCTTCATCAAAAAAGGTGTTGAGTAAGCTGCAGTTTTTCATTCTTTCAGAAACATTTTGTTTTATTTCTCTTTTTCAGATGAAGTTTAACCATTTTTTCCCCCAAACTGCATTTTCCAGATCACATTTTCTGGATGTCAACATTTTTCAGATGTTTACATCTGGATTGAGGTGAAGAAAATATTATCTCTAAAACACAATTTGCTAAGAAAGCAATTCACAAAACTAAAGTGTAAAATAAAGTTTGAAAGAGTAAAACAAAAAAATGAGAAGAATCTGATAAAACAGTAAAGTTATTCTCAAAAAATGCTTCTTATTCTGACTTTTTTCAAAGCTTCCTTTTTGGATTGTTTTTTTTTTATTATTATTTTAGTTTACAAAACAGGTTCTTTGCTTGAAAAGACGGATATCAACACTCAAAGCTTTATTTGGATAAACAAATAATTTGAGATGGTATGAATACTACAGACAAGTGCCGTTTGTGTAGATTTCCAAATTTATTTACCATAAAAAATTCTGCATCACTTCTGAGCTAAGAGATTGCTGGAGAGTCAATTACTGGATGCAATCAGCTGCTTAATAGTAACTTTGAAACAACCTGTCTGGATGATCTGATTGATCTCTGGGAATAAAGGAATCTGTCAAACTCACCCATCAAAGTTAGGGGGCGGGGTTAACGCGAATCGAGTCTCTGTAATCCATTTGCTTCGCCTTAATGTGCAGGGTGACCAATCAGGTGTTAGATAACCGCCCCCTAACTTTGATGGGTGAGTTTGACAGATTCTTTTAATGGTTTCGATGCACTGCGACACAGGACCATGAAATAATTAAATGCACACTGAAATAATTATATATATATATTTTTTTTAATAAAATGAAGACGTATTTTATTAAATTAATGACACATTTATATATTTAAGTCCTTATTTATTTAATGAATTACACATTTAATTAATTGTTTATCGCTGTATTTATTTATTTAATTGTGGCACTTTATATTAGTGACGTGGTTTTAATTAATGAATGACACATTTATTTATTTAATTCCACATTTAATTAATTATTGACACATTTAATTATTTATTTAATGCTGTATTTATTTATTTAATTTTGACTCTTTTTATTCTCCATATGTGAAGAGTCTTGAGATGAAATGTGTTGTGAATTAGTGTAAAATAAAAACAAAAATGAAATTAATAGAAAAGCCCCTGCAGGTGATTGCTCTACCATCACTGCTTAATGAAAAAAAGCTTCCTGAAACCCTAAAATGACAGCCGTGGACCGTGTTTGATCTCTTACTTGTGCATGTGCTCCAGGCTGGCAAAGATCATCACCCCGTAGGACAGGCCGCTCTGCACCAAGAAATGCACCGAATACCTTCAAAAACATGAAAAAAAACATCATTACAGATTGCACGTTTCACAACAAACTCATTGACATGCGTTAGAGTACAAAGAATGTTTTTGTTTCCTCTCCATGGCCACGCCCCCCCTCCCAACCCAGCCTTACCGGCAGCCATGTGAGCCCAGAGATCTGCAGGCACTTTAGTATCATTTCCAGTCAGTCAGAAGACAGCGGTGAGATATTAGTCCTCACACTAAGATCCTAAATCATCTCTGAGCTCTTCGGCTGCAAAATGTCTAAAAATACATCCCTGTGACATCAGTAAAGGCTGCATGCAGATAGGCCCGCCGTCTGCCCTTCAGTTCCCCACAGGAGAGCAGGCAGAGCGCAGAAACATGCAGTCCGTCAGAGAGCTGTGTGGGATCTCAGCCCTCCAGGAGAGCAGAGACGTGAGTCAACGAGGACGTGCAAAAATAATCTAGAAATAAGTAAAGATATCTTAAATTAAGTGTATTTACCTTTAATTTTAGTAGGTAATTAAGAGGATTTGCCAATGGAATGAGTATTTTTACTCTTAAAATAAGATAATTAGATAAAATGCATTTGAAATAAGACAATGCAATTGTTTTTTCTTATTTTAAAGGTAAATTATCTTGTTCCATTGGGAACATTTCTCACTTACCTCCTCAATTCAAGAATAAATGCACTTACTTTAAGAAAAAATGACACACATTTTTTGCAGTGAGCAGCTGCCGGGGAGCGCGACAGCGAGGGAAATGATACAACAAAGACATTAAATAAAACATGTAAGAATGGAAAGGTTTCATCTTTACAGAAAGTCAGGCTCATTCCCCTGGAACGGATTAAAAGCAACAGTTCCTCAAGTCAAGTGTGGAGAAACAACCTGAAGCTGAAACTAAATCAACACTCAGCGTGACACAGCTACGATAGGACTCCAGGAGACATTCTGCTCTCAGCTGTGAACTCATTTCAACTTTTGCCTTTTGACCCAACCTCAGAGAAAATTCAGCAACGACGTGACTAATTCTTCATAAAAACAGACGTGACGATGCAAGACATCAGGTTTCGCTGGAAAACCTAAATTAAAGGCGCAGTAGGAGATCTTTTCTGACGCATTTTTTACCATCTGGCTTATAGATCTCCCCACAGCCGCTTAGCAAGCAGTGAAATAGAAGGTCTGGAGGTGGAACTAAAATAAATGTTCCCCACTACAGTGAGAAATCAATTATTAAGCCCAACCAATCACAAAACAAGGTCCGCTGTACACTATTGGTTCCTCAGTCGTAGTTGTCTTCTTGTCCCTCCCCCCTGTGCGCGTACCCTGACACATGAACGAATCAACCCCCCAATGCTGGTGCAGGACGCCATGGCTGGAAGCTAGCCACTGCTATGCTACGTTCACACCTATAGCAGCAGGAGCAGCAAAAACGCGTGTTCTGCTTCATTTTTGATGCTTGTACCAGTTTAGTTCTGACTCCAGGCTGAAGCATCTTTGCTGCTCTGGCTGCGCGGTGGAAAAAGTGGGTCTGATGCGCGTTGGGCGGAGCTACACTATCCTTTCTTTGACTGGAACAATGGCAGCTAGATTTGTCAGGGTTCCTACAGCATAAGGAAAAGTTAAATTCAAGACTTTTTAAGACCTTTTAAAGCCACTTGAAATAAAAATTTAAGACCAAATTCACAAGAAACACAAGAAAAACCTGCTTGCGACAACTTAACCCAAAGGTTTATTATAACATAAACCACTGCACTAATGTTTCAAATGTTGAAAAGCTTCCCATACAGGAAGAAAGCTAAAAACACACAAATGACAGATATATTTGAACAATTATTTACCTGAATTCACAAACTTTGTTTTATCAGGGAACAAAACTAATCAGTTTTAAAGCCCCAACATAACCAGTGCTAAGTCTTTTTGCAGCTATTTTTCTTTGTATGGTTTTCTTAGTATGTTTGATTTGGTGATAAGTGGAGGCGTTGCAGAGACAAGGGTGGAACAAAACTGAGAAATACCGGCTGTTTCTCTGTAACTCCATTTTGACGCTTTGTCAAACTGCATTAATTCCCATCGTTCTGAGCTTGAATGACAAAAATACATCTTGCCTTCACCTTTTTTCCAAGATCTCTTACAGCACCTTTAAAGGATGATGTTTTCATCCAGGACACCATCTAAGGCGGTCCTCGTTCAAATACCCAAAAAAAGATCCACGTCAGGTTCTGTTAGATTCAGAACTTCAGGTCAAATACAGCCCAGAATCCTGCAAACGGCACAGCTCTACTTCACCGTGCTAATGACATTACTGAGCAGCAGAAGTATGTGCAGAAACTTGTACCATTAGAAAGTGAAGCTGCGTATTAAAAATTCACAACTGGATTGGTTAGAAAGTGAAGAGAGGAATTTAAACAGTGAGATCATCATGTCTGCAGGCGGTGAATGCTCCACGGGGATGCCTTCCTCGTATTCCCAGTTCAGAGCAAACCGCTGGGAGCAGGTCGACCTCTCCGTTCGCTGCTTATCTGAATACAAACAAGAGCGTCCACATTAAACATGTCAACTACTGCAGTTCTGCTGCTGCGTTTAGAATACCAGCTTCCATCTGTGAAACCGATCAGCTGAAGCTGCTTTACCTTAGTGGTTATTTACAGCTTTCAGATTTTTTATAATGTATAATAAAAATACTCTTTTCTTTTTTCCAAGACAAACTGATTTACTTAGATTTCAGTTTTTGCAGAGTGAGATTTGATCTATCAGCTCCACATGTTTACAAACGGATGTTTCATTATTCCTCAAAAACATCAACACAAGAAAAAAGGCCTTCTAAAATATAAGAAAAAATATAGTGTTTTAAGTTAATAATTGCCTATTTTTAGCAAAATAATCTGCCAGTGCAGCAAGCAAATGAGACAAGAACATAATATCCAAGTAGTAAGCATCCAAAAAAAACCTAAATCAAGTAGAAAAATCTATTTTTTCTTTAACTTGTTAAGATTTTTTCTCTTATTTTAAGCAATTTATTCTCATTTATTAGTTAATTTTTGCTTAGAATCAAATGTCCTCTAACCAATTATTGCTCAAAACAAGCAAACAGGCTTAAAAACAAGGCAAATGTACTTGATACCAGTTCATTTAAAGGCTTAAAACTAGTCTGTTTTTCTTAGCTAGAATTAATTTCATTATTTTGGTGTAGTAAATGTATGGGAAAAATACACTTGACAAAAACTTCAAAATGTGTTTTTTATTATTATTTTACCAGAAATGTCTCAGAATTAAGTGAAATCCAGTCGTGCGAGATTTTTTCGATACAGCCGACTTTCAGCCCGATCGTGCGTGGTGTAGAGTAAAGGGGGCAACGAGGGACGATCAGCCTCTAACGACCACCTCCCCATCAGGAATCGTGATATTGGGATATTTTAATGTATCAATATTTTTTCTCTCGTCTTTAGAAGTTTTTAGGGTCTGTTTTTTTAGACTTTAGAAACTCAGAAGCTGATCAAATATCGGGTTAAATATCGGTGGGGTGGCCGATGTCCGATATTCTGTTTTAAGGCCGATACCGATAGGGGGCCGATTATATCGTGCATCCCTAGTCGTCACCTTTTCTTTTTAGGGCTTTCAATACAAAATCGCACAAATTTTCAAGGCTTTGCGTTTCACTCTAGTGAGCTTCTACTCGTCTGGCTTCCGGATAGACGAGTCCGAGTAGCGCCATCTCACTGCAGAGCTGAGCCCAACGTGGTTGCATCAGAGCGCCGGGCCGCACAGTGTGAGAACCAACATTGTGAGCTGTAAACTAACTCTGTACGACGAAACCCTGCGATTTCAACAATTGAAAAAATTCGCAGTGTAGGCTTAACAGGTTTAGCTCCATCAATGCTCCAATAAACTCCTGACCCGTTTCTTCAACCATCGATTTTCACTTTGATGTTCTTTATTACAGGCAGATGCTCTACCAATGCAAAAATTAAAATATATATGTAGGTCTAAAACAATTCATCGGATTAATCGATTATTGAAATAATCATCAACTAATTCAGTAATCAATTAATCATTAACTGGAGTAAAAGACAGAGTGACCCATTTAGAGAGGTAATTATACCAAAACTGTAAAAGAAACATATAGAAATAATTAGCATTTAAATTGAAAAAAGCTCTCTCCTGTTAATATGCTCTATCCAGAACTCCTCAAGTTCTGGTTTAAAATCTTCTTTAAGGAACCTTTTGCTATCGGATTATTAATCGGAAAAATAATCAACGGATTAATCTTTTTTTTTTTCATATCCTTTATTTTGAAAAATGATATGATTTAACAATGTTTACATTGAATGCTTCATAAACATCATGTTTCAAAAAGGAGTAAGATGAAGCATAAGCTCATTAGGTTGTGTCATGGTGGTAAAGGACAATTATTTACAGGAAGACAAACAGTATACCAACTTTTTATATATTACTCTTTTAAGTATTTATCAAAAATACTTTTCTTATATTATTTTTTGAATTGCTGGATGCTTTTACATTGTTTGATGTTTTCAGGCAAACTGTTCCAGAGCTGATAAACTAAAGCTTCTTTTTGTTGTTCGAAAATACTTAGTTTTGAAATTTTTAGATTACATTTTCCGTCTCCATCATTTGTAAAATAATCGTTAATCACAGCCGTAGTACGTAATATTCCTCGTTTGGAGCAGGTGAGCGATACAATTTGCGAACGGAACGAGAGAATTTATGTTCAAAGTACGAAAAAAAAAATCAACCATTATCTTATTTTTGGTGCAAATTATTAAATTATCTTATTTAAGGTAACCTCTCTACTTACATTGGCAGGTTATCTTATTTGCTTCAATTAAGAGCAAATAGATACATTTTATTTGTTTTTTTTAGATCAGTTTTTCGTGTATAAAAGATCGGATTTGATCACTTTGTGCCGCCGGCGATGAAAAGAATGACGAATGTGGAAGGAGATGAGACGCATTGAAACGGGCAGAAGTCTGCTGCCATCGGCTGTAAGTGACCTTATCACTGAGACAGAGAAAACACCCTGCAACACATCAACATCAAATCATTCCCTTTTTAAACAATAAACTACATGCAGGACTGAAGAGAAGCAAAGAATGAGAAAAGTTATTCAATATTCGGTTGTTATTTAACAAACGTTGACAGGGACACAAACCCAATATGGTAGAGAGAGACTGTGATGGAGGTGCAGAGGACAGGAAGGAGCTGAGAGGGCAGAGCGGCGCTGCAGGGCGCTCAGAGCGGTGACTCACCAGCCGAAGCAGAACAGAGCCAAGTAGAGGCCCAGCAGAGTTGCCACTACGTGTCTGATGAAGGGGCTGGTCTTGCTGGGGTGGAGGTAGATCCGAAACCACACGGCCATGAGCAGAGCGAACAGCTGGCACGCCACAAAGTTCACCTGCACAGAGGGAAGCAGACATCTTCTTAAGAGCATGAAGGTTAGGATTCGTTTCAATTCAAAATACTTCACCGAATGAATGGAAACTAAATGAAATTAACTTCATTTCAGGATTTTATTACTGCTTTACTAAAGATGATTCTCTGGATGAGCAGCATTTCAGCATCACTTTTGATGTTCACTTTTTTCAGTATTGATTTCCATCTTTTTTTTATTGAACTTTATTGTTCTGATATTGGAGAAATGTACCTCTGCATTTAACCCATCACCTTGGGGAGCAGTGGGGGTCGAACTCAGAGCCTCAGGATGTCAAGCTCTACGCCCTAACCACTATCTTTGTTGATGCGTTTCAGGAGGGGGAGGGGCGGTGCTGGCCTTGGAGTATCTGTTGGGTCAGGCGACAGTGATGCAGCAAGGGATTGTGGGGATTTGAAGCGGAGTAGTGATGTCAGCCGTCGAAAAACAAGAAGGAAAAAAGTCATACGATATCACTAAATATTGGTTTATGGAGAACATGACAATTGTGATTCACCAGAACAAAAAAACTTAATGAACTTTGAAGGGACAGTGTGTAACTAATTTGGCTTTTTATAAGAAAATAAAAGAAATGGTTTTATAAGAACCATGGGAAAGAGTTCCCATAGCTTGTAATGAACTCCTTTAAACTCAGAGGTGGAGTTGCAGCCAATGAAAGACGCCATGTTGTCCCGCAATCTTTCAGAAGGCAAAAGAGGACAAACTCAGTAGCCTTATGCGCTTTAACTGTATATGAAGACGTAATGTCAGTGGAGGAGAATAAAACAATAAAAGTAGATCATTAGACTTTTTTTTTTTAAATGGATGACCATCCAGAGTCGTTGCCCGGGGAGAGAAGGTTATAAAGAAATGAAATGGAAGTAATGATCAGAAGAAAACGAGAGGCGACATCAGGGTAGCTTTTGGCAGATGGAGACAATTTATCGGGAAGCAGAGCTTCAATGCTTTTCCAACCGATATTCGTCAGTCCATCAGATGGCGATGGACAATATATTCATGCAGTAACTTTGTCTGCAAAAATCAGCGCGCCTTCAGAGCACGTCCGTTTGATTTCCCCATCGTCACGTCTCTCTTTATGCATCAGGTAAACCATCCATGTTATTCCACCATATATTTATATGCAACACGCCCATTATTCTCCTATAATCACCAATTCTTAAATAAACAATTCTTCGCTCCGCAATTTTGAAAGTCTGACATCAACTGTTTGTTCTCTTTTTTTGCCTTTCCGCTTGTTATGTTGATCAATGCCCCTCTGTGGTTTTTGCAAGTACTGCACCTACATCTGCGTTAGCTGTAAAAAGGGTACTGGATCTCTATGGGCTCACGCACGGCGTGCACAGACCGCCATGACAACCCGACGCGCGCGTATATGTCGGCCTTTAGGGCCAAAAAAAAAAATCGCTCTTAAAAAACCTCCATTGAAGGGCTGAGTTTATCGTTGATGGTCGATAAATTCGTCCTATCGCCCAACATTGCTCATCTATCCTTCCAGCAAAGACAGCTAGTTTGTCTGTTAGCCTAAAATGGCGGTGTACCAGTTTTCAGTTGCTGTTATTTTTCACAGAAGTCACACCAGAGGGTCATATCGATCACATGCCTCTTTCGGCTTTATTTTCTACGTGTTATCGTGTTTTTTAGCTAATTTGTCACAGTCGATGATTCCTCTCAGTAAAAAAGAAATGACCAAAGTAATAGCAGTTTCTAATTGTGATAGTACCACTAGAGCTGCACGCATTCTGATGTTGAGACGTATAATATAAAACAAACAGAATTGTGTAGCGTTCTGTAGCTCATCACCAGACAGGACAATTGTCACATTAATGACTTCTTAGGTTAGGTAGTTATTACGCACTAAGGCAACAGAATGTAGTTCTTGTAAATAATTAAGCTCACCACTAGATGGGAGTATCTCTCACACACTGCTTCTTTAAAGATCAGAGTCGTTTGCATAAGCTTGAATTTACTTTGGAATATGAAGTTGCTTGAATATGAACATCCCATTGATTTTGGGATAAATTCCTTTACCAGACTGATCCATTCTGCTGTGATTAAAACGGTTCTGGTGTCACTCTGACTGCATAGTTGCTAAAAGAAAAAAATTTTAGAGCTCATTTCAACTAGGGATGCACGATATTGGGATTTTGGCCGATATCCGATATTTTAAAACTCATGTAGCCGATAACCGATACCGATACTGATGTTAAAGCTGGACAAAAATAAGTAGTCATTGAAAATCGCAGTTTTGTTATCCATTTCTGACACTTTGAAAAATAATATACTCAAATATATTTTCATATGCTGATATCAAATTGATTTTTAAAAACGCGGTATCGATCTATTTTACTTTCAAAATCTCGTGAAATTTCATCGTTCTGTTACAAACTCTCGTGATATTTTGCAAATTCTTGTGAGATTTTGTTAGTAAAATAGATCGATACCGCGTCAATATATCAACATATAAAAATATGGCAACATTTTGTGTATTTTCGGGGGATTTCGTAGCATAACGATGACATATAGCAATATTTCATTAGTAAAAGAGATTGATATGGTGTTTTTAAATAGCAATATATCAGCATATGAAGATATTGGGATATTTTAATGTATCAATATTTTTTCCCTCGTCTTTAGAAGTTTTTAAGTCTGTTAAAAAAGAAGCTTTTGAGGAAGAAGAAGAAGTACTATTTTTTTTATTTTTTTTTAGACTTTAGAAACTCAGAAGCTGATCAAATATCGGGTTAAATATTGGTGGGGTGGCTGATGTCCGATATTCAGTTTTAAGGCCGATACCGATAGGGGGCCGATTATATCGTGCATCCCTAATTTCAACTGTGTGATTTCGAGGCAGATCCTCAGCGTTTTCAGCACAGTCCATAAATACAGTGACGTTAAGGCAGAAACAATCCCAGAAGCTTCATGTTAGCCTGTCTGTTCTGTCCATGATGTTTGTTTGGTGATTTAGGTCAAACTCTCAGCCACTGATAAAGCAAAAATCACTTCTCTCTGAAAGTGAAACTCGTGATGCAAAACTTCTGTTTCTCATCATTTTTTACACAATTAGACTTATTCAATACGGTGCAGCAAAGTAGAGTCTATCCCTTTCCTGGTTTCCTGTTGTTTTTGATGATCGAACTGTTGTTAATGTCAGACAGAGCTAACCTGAGCAAAAATGATGCCTTAAAATGCCTTAAGCCTTAAAATGATTGTTTCATAATCAAGGTAACCTGGAAATACAACACAAAAAAGGCTCTATGTAATAAATGCTGGGTAAATCCCCTTCCTCAGGCAGTTTGAAAGTTTGCTTGAAACCAGTAGAATCAGGAAATGAACTTCTGAAAACCTGTTAGACAACATGGAATGGTTAAAAAAGCAAAACAGCTCTTCAAATAATTCAGAAACAGCTGGAAAACCAGAGACACTGACATTTCTAAAGGTTTTAGATGAATCATGCAGGAGGTCCCAGAAGAACAGAGAGCTCTGCAAGCCTCAATGCCTCAGTTAGCAGCTCAGGATTTAACAATGAGGAAGAGAGGCCTGCCAGATACGGCCTCCATAGGAGAGAACCAGGACCAGAACTACTGCTGACTGAAAAGAATACCACTTGTAGTACATTTACAAAAAAACATATCATGACCCTTGGGAGGAAAAAATATATATTTTAGGAAGGTTTGAGTCCCGTGGAATCTAAAATAAATTAAAAAATACAAAAAATGAACAGATAAGGTGGTAGTAGTGTGATGGTCTGGGGCTGCCTTACTGCTCCAGGACATGAACTAAATGTGGCGACTGATGGAAACCAGGAATTCTGTAAGACGGGCGTACACTGTGCGATTTTTTATGCCCTTTTCGGGGGGACTTTCCAGTTGTGCGGGAATTTTTTGATATGCCCAACTTTCAGCCTGATCGTGTGTGGTGTGGTGGAAAACTGAGTGGCAGTCAGTCTTTCTCCGTTCATCTACAAGCAACCACATTCTGGGTAACCATGTCCGCCCTCCTCCGTATGAGACAAACACCAAAACACATTCCTCACCTGCTAGAGTCTAAGAGTGAACCTAATCTCTGGAAACGTGAGTCTGCCTACCATTCCTCCTCTTCAAGTCAAACAATCTAATTTCCCACTGAGCCTGAACTAACCGCAGTGTCTTCCCCTCACCTTTCAGTTCCGGTTGAGCAGTGTTCAGAGCAACACTGGAATCTCCACAAAACTTCTCAATAAACTTGTTAAACCTTTCCCCTTGTCTCTCAGGATTGGCTTATCTGCATGTGGGTCAGAGCTCTTGACAAAACCATGACAGGCCCTCTCTATACCTAAGGAATACATCGCAGGTATTACAATGAAAAATCCCCCACTTTGGGAACCGCTGATCTAGATGTAGAGCAAAAAAGAGAGAAAGTAGAAGACATGTAAGGAGGTCGATCTTCCGACTGCGCTGCTGTTTATCTAAATGATCGGTGAGGATTTCAGGGATGATGTCGTTCTTCCACCAAACCTCATGATGATCTTTGATGGAGGAGATCTGATACTACCGCTGGCATCACACCAGCTCCGTGTTTATCTCTCCAGATCAGCATAAACGCTGATGACTCAGGAAAGATGTTTAACATCCTGACAAGCATCTGCTGCTCCCGTTTGCTTCGCCCACCTCACACGCCTGAACTCACACCTCTGAAGGTAAAGTGAAATAAACTCTGCCTTCTTGGGAACAGAAGTGAACGATTACGCTAAATTAAAGAGATAGATTTAAAAAAATAAGTAGAAAGGTGCAGAGCCTGCTGAGCATCCATCCATCCAAGGCAAACACTGGACCCATGCAGGGGCGTAAACCCTGACCCAGAGGCAGGGTCGGGACCCTCAGGCAGGTCAGGAGACACCAAGTTGGGCCAGGAGATAGTTTTAAAATCATTGTAATCCCTGAGGTATATGAGAGCCAAAATGTAATGAAATACATAAATGTGATTAGTAACTTTTATTCATCTATTTTAACACAAAACTAAAA